GAGGATGCAGTGTATTTGAGATTGTAGGTTTTAGTATTGATAGTATTGATAAGCAAGTGTACCATTGTTTTAGGCAGCAAGTTATTCGTGGGTCTCTAATTGGATAAGCTATTGTTGAAGTCTCCAGCAATTAGTTTGATGATCCCAGATTATTTTATTGTTATGATTAGGTTGTCATGGAAAAGAGGCAACATAGTAAATACCAAAACTGTAGACATTTTACAGTTGTATTTTTTTTTTGACACTGCAGTTTCTAACTGAGGTAGGTGACCCCAAAAAAAAAGAGAACAGTTTTCAACCATCATTCACTCCATCACTGTCCTTGCTTGAGGCAAACCAATACACAGTCAGATGCACCTATAAACTGCAGTAACCCCACCCGACCTTCAAAGTGTAGTCCCGGGTTCGATTCCCGGCGGGGATAAGAAACATTTCATGTTTTTGTTCACCAGCAGCAAGTTAGTCGATCTGGTGTGGTCGCGCATCCAGGGGACAAGATTGAAAACCCCAATGAAATATAGACAGACAGTCCTCGATAACACACTGACTTTCTTGGTTATCCCATGTTGGTTAACCCTCCAGGGTTAAAATCATGAAGAATCTTATCTTCATTCCAGAGTGTTTTAATTGAGATTAAGAATGTTGTGGTCCTCTTTATTAAGTTCTGTATTCTTTTTTTTTAGTCAGAAAAAGAGTCCCATTTGATATTCCTTATTTTCAAGAGAGGAGAGATTGAGTTTGGGAATTTTTATTAGTAGTATACGTACTTTGTCCACCAGGCCTGATGCAAACTGACACATGTAAGGATATTGTTTGGTCATGAAGTCACATACAGTAGGAGCCCCGTGTCCAGCTGGGATAGATTTCAAGACCTACAGTGGATACTCCAAAACCCACGAATAGTACAAACCTTATATACATTTAAGTTGTTTTTTGTTTATATACATACCTATGATGTTGGTGTTGGAAGGGTGTATGGATGAGGCTAGAAAACAATGAGGTGGTATGATGGTGACCAGTGGTGGCAGTGTTGATGGCCCAGTGTGGGTGGTAGTGTGGATGATGGGTGACTGAGCAGGTGAGTGTTCAGTTGGTGTGGGCATATTAGGCTATGTGACTAGGATATAGATGCGTGTGTGGGCTGTGAAAACATGGGTCATGTGTGGGTTGTGGGGCTGTGAAGCTAGAAGCTGTAGGGGAGTAGTGTGTAATGAAAGGTATGTATGGGTGAAAGTCAGGATAAGGCGTGTGAGGGGGTGAGTCATAGGGAAATGCGACCATGAGGGAATGATGGTTGTGGGGAGTGGTATAGATGTAAGCATTGTGGCCTTGTGGGAATTGTGTGGGGGGATTGTGGGTGTAGGTGTTGTTGGTTGGGATGGTGTGGGGTGAAGGCATGTGGCTGTTGGGGGAGTTGTGGTTGGAGGTTGGTGGTTGAGAGGTTGCTGCGGTTGGAATGAGGGGTTTTTTTATAAAAAAATGGGGGGTGAAGGCATGTGGCCATGGGGGATTTAAGGGGCATGTGTATGGGTGGGGGTTGTGGCAGTTGGGGTTTGTTGCTGGGTGTAAACAGCAAGTGTGTTACCGGGATGAGATTGAATGACAGATTTGGTGTGGCCAGAATTTATGGCTGAGATATGGCACTGAGTGACGGCATACTTATAATCATAGCCCAAGGTTAGGTACTTAAGAAGTGTATAACATAGCCTCCTGAGCACTCACTGCTATACATTCCAAGACACCCACATCTCCCCATCATGTCAGTTTCCCTCTTTTATGGCTGTTTGTGATTAGGTTTTTTAAAGATATGAAGATGTTCTTATACAATTCTGAGAAAAACATGATCCTTAAATAATAAAATTGTCAGTAATAGCATAAATAATGCCCTCAGAGTGACATGCTTCTTTACATCGTGACGTAGAGTCTGAGACTGCTCAGCTCTGGATAAGCTCATTCCCACTTAATAATTTTAATAACAATGGGAAGTAGGCCGACTTGTGAAAAAAAAAAATAGTAATAATAATAGAAAGTAATTTTTACACGTGTTCTTTGTCATTTTATGTTATAATCTTCTTTAACCTAGATCAAATCTGTTATGGCATAATATTATGATTTCTTGAGCTTTGTGAGTTTATTATATGTCTCAAGCACATTCATAGGTATTAATCCCTAACCTGTACTGCTTCTCATAGTTCTATGCATTTTTATTCACGCGGACCGAGGATGCCACATTAGCCATAGGGCTATTTAATTTCTTGTTGTCACTTGTTTGGATTTTTTAATGGGTAATTGTCTGTTGTAGATCTCTTCCATGGGGAAGTGGAATCAGAATTCTTCCTCCGTAAGCATGCTGATCGTAAGAGCGACTAAAAAATGCCGGGAGCCAAGGGACTAGAACACCTTTCTTCTGTATATATTACCTAAATATGAAAGGAGAACGCTTCGTTTTATCCTTTGGCCAACCCACGCCTTGGAGAGATACGGCTGGTACGTTTGAAAGAAGAAGAAGAAGTCTGTTGAAGTTTTGTATCAAGTGACGAAGTAAGGAACATAGAGTTAATGTCTTGGTAATTGTGCAATCTCTCTGCCGAGTCAGTGTTGCAGACTATAAGGTATATTTATAGTGGCAACTAGAACAAACACTTTACAAGATCTTTCATGGGGTAATTTGAATAAATTGGTGACTATGTAGGTAGCGGTGATTGATCAGTCTGTCCCTGTAGATAATGCCTGCTGTTTGAGTAGACTGGAACGTTTTTGTCCATATCTTATCAAGTGATGAGTAGTTCGTTGTTTGTTTATCAGGCTTGGTTAGGAGGTTATTATAAGGCAGTTGCACATATTATTCAGGAAACCTCTACTTATGGGTTCATCAGATTGAATGATGTTGATGTTGAAGAGTCCTTAGTAAGCATTAGGTGATATTTATTGGCTTCTCTGATAATAATTGAGGATCTTGAAATAAATCTCCGAAATTGTTATTAAGGTAGTGAACTGTAGACAGCTATCGGTTTGTATGAGAGGTCTTTCAAGTTCTTGGTTTGTGCACTGTGGCAAACTTTGTGTATTCTCTGTGCTTAATCTGGTGCAAGTTGAAGAACATATCTCATTAGTGTAGAAGATTTGCTGTTTCTAACCCCTTGAAAATCCAGGTCAACAGTCATGTATGGATTGGATTGTGCACCCAGTGAGTTGTAGTGCTTGTAGCATTGTGGTTTACTAGTTCATTGAGAATAAAGAAGGTTAGGATTTGCCTATAGTGATCCAGAAGTGTAGAGATATCATCAGTGTTTCTTAGGATCAGTTAATAAATACTGAGATTTTTGTTTGTGATTTGGCATGGTTTTGCAATATAATACTATTTGCAGTCTTGATCTACAATGAATTGATTATTGTAAAATGCAGAGAGGAGATACACTTGGATTCATTGCTCAATCCCATCAAAGTAAATAACAGTGATATGTTACAGAAATGCAGCAACTGAAAGATGTCATCATGCTTAAAACTCTAAAACTCAGAATGAGGGTAACTATAACAGGAAGGTACCATAAATCAAAATATATACTATTTTGAGCTTCAAAGTTAAAGAAAGTCACTTCTCGAACCATTGATTGTATAGGTACAATGGCCTAAGAAACATTATGCAAGGACATTAATTTTATACACATACTGTCCTCTAAGATTTATATACTAATTATAAAAGTATGTGGTTTTATCACTCATTCATAAGGAGAAACAAATTCAAACTACTGTATAAGTTTAATTTCACCCCATATATATTCAAAAAACAATTAACAGCAACGGAGAGGAAATCAACTAAGGAAAACTCTAAAGAAAGCTTGGTAGCTCTCAAGTCTAACAGTGTTAAAAAAGGCTAGTTCACGAGAAGTATGTCTGAAAATCAACATGTAAGTAAAATCAAGCAATGAGTGAAAAAATTCCTTAAAAAAAAAATAGAAATGACCTACGGTTGAGTTTTTTACATGGAATAAGATGAAAACATTAAAATCTGACACAATTATTATTCATCCAAAATTGTTTGCATTGACACAAGATGGCAAACTCCATCTTCATTCATTTACACTAGATTTTTTTCATACTAATTTATGTAATACTGAAATGGATATATAGTACTACACTTCAAGTGGCAAAAACAGCGAAACTACTTACAGTAATAGGATGATCCACTTTCCCCTTTTAATGTAATAATGAATACTGTACAATGTAATTTTTTGAATCATAAATGAATTAATTTTCCATTGACATTTCACTTGACATCACCACACAAAAAACTAAGTTTTATTATGTACAGACTTGAGAGCTAAAGAATACAAGGCATAAGACAAAAGGTTTACTAATGTTACAATGGCAGTGCCTCTCCCTCAGAATATTATTACAACATTACAGCTTTAATTTGTTTCAAACTCAATTAAACGTCAAATATTTTTTAAAGAATGCAGTACATTATTTGTGGATGGGTGGCTTTGAAATTATCATGGATGTTGTGACTCAACTAGCTGCAGATTTTGAGAGTGCCGTGCCGGCACATTGAGAATGAAGAATTGGTGTCTAATTCTGATAAAACTCAATCCACTTCTCGGCTGGCGCATCCGACATGCTGCCCAGCACACCCGTTGCACCAGCTAGGAAAATCAGTAGTATTTGATATAATTGTCATAAGTGATGTATTCTGAAGAATTTTTTCTGCTTCTACAATACCCTCCTTTATAATATTCTAAAAAGTTTGAATGTACTGTAATTCAAAGATAAATTTCTGTATGTAAGTAATAATTTTAATAACATGTGCCTTTATATTTTATAAATCATTGACAATCATTGAATGTAATATCATCTGACATGAGACTAATTTGAGCATGAAAATAAATATTTAAATTTGATCAATATTGTAATAGTAATTGATTTTATAGCTTTAAAGAAAGGAACATCACAAAACCCTGGCTGTAACACTTTTGACTTAAAAGCCTCAGTTTTTCAGCCAAATTATGTTGGGATAATCAATGTGGCGATGAAACTTAAAGAAGTAATAGAACGAAGTTGCCAGTTTGTAACTCGAATTGCCTCACACAAGTATGGCAGAGTCCCTCAGTTAAAGCTGTCTGGCCATGTCAATGCTGTCTTTCCATATATTGAATGTAAGTATTGTATTATTGTTGATTAGATAATGTTTGGCTTTATTTATACTGGCTTAATTATAGCAATGAGAGCATCAAAAAATATAAATATAATAATTACAGATATGTTGCTATTAAGGCTTCATTGAAAAACAGGGCTTCCTATCATGCTAAAATAACCTGATTTTATAGAGAATAACTATAGTTTTACATTCAGAAAAGGGATGATGAAATTCGAGGGTCCACTGTATATACTTATTCAACATAAAAAATAGTACCCCTGGTGTGATTTTAAGTAATTTTGAAAATTCGCCTGACAATGGCTGAAAATACTGTCCAGTAATTTTTTAGGCGGAAAAACTTTTTCTCTAAAAATTGACAATGGTCATAATGACACTGTTTGTTGGATCAGTTACTCCCTATAACATGAAAAAATCCTGGATCAATTACTCCCCACAAACATGAAAGAATCCTATATGTATTGCTTTCATGGCAGGTTATAAGTTTTGATAACATAAGCGACCTGTTAAGGCACTTCAGACAATGAAGAAATCAGAGGGAAAAAACAGCCTTGTATCATACTAAAACTTTGTCTTTTTGTTTTTAAGTGAATATTCATAAACAGCTTAAAAAAGTACCACTGGTGTGATTTGAGGCAATTTTGAAAATTCGTCCAAAAATGGACATGGTGAAACTGTTAGAAAAGATTTGATAAAATGCGCCATAAAAGAGTTTCAGACATTTAAGACATTAGGAAAAACGGCCTCGTATCATGCTAAAACTATCTCATGATATTTTAAACTGCATATTCTATAATAGGATAAAAATACAGTGGACCCCTGCTTTACGATCAGCTCCCAATGCGACCAGTTATATAAGTGTATTTATGTAAGTGCGTTTGTACATGTATGTTTGGGGGTCTGAAATGGACTAATCTAATTCACAATATTCCTTATGGGAACAAACTCGTTCAGTAATTGCACCTGAACATACTTCTTGAATGAAATAATATCGTAAGCAGGGGGTCCACTGTAGTTCAACCGGAGTGATTTTAACCATTATTTCAATCCAGCTAATATTGTATAAATGCTCTTGTCCAGTGATTGGGGGAGGCAAAAAATATAAAAAGCAATATATTCATCAAGGAGCTGCTGCTTGGATCATTTATTTCCAATAAATAAAACAAAATATATTTTGGAAGGTTTGAATAGGTTTAATGAAAACATTGGTATTCTCATGTAGTATTATAGTAGTGATAGTTTTTTCAGAATTCCTCCACTCTTACCATTTTCTTTGTTTAATTCTCTGATCAGAAATACTGTCTTAACCCTTTCACTGTCCAGATCCCCAAAATTGGAAGTGCTCAGTGTCTATGTTAAAAAAAAAAAATTTTTTTAAATGGTACAGAATCTTTTTCTGAAGTTAATGACACAAATTATTATTATTATTATAATCAAGGGGAAGCGCTAAACCCGTAGGATTATACAGCACCTGGGGGGGAGGGGGATGTGGAAGGTATTCAGGCTTAATTCGGGGAACTGGAGCACAGATCCAATTCCCTAAATCAAGAGCCCCTCACCATCATCAAGGAACCTTCCTTGAGGGGTAATGACACAAAAACTGCAAAATTTGATGGAAATCTTAGATTTACACAGGTGCGAAGTTAGCCATCTGGGTGCAATTTACACATAAGTGATTCTCCCTGAATTTGAGTCCTATCTTCAGCCAATTCCATTGCTCAGTTCGACCAAATTCTTAACTATTTTCCTAGTATGCACCTCCCCAGTGCCTTAGCATTTACTTCTTTTACAACCCCATCTATAAATATGTTAAACAACCATGGTAACATCAAGCATCCCTGTCTAAGGCCTACTTTTACAAGAAAATAATCTCCCTATCTCCTACATACCCTAACCTGAGCCTTACTATTATCATTAAAAACTCTTTAACAGCATTCAGTAACCTACTACCTATTCTATACACTTGCAACATCTGCCACATCGCTCCACTATCCACCCAATCATATGCTTTTTTTCAACATTATTCACTTGGTCTATGCATTCCCTACTCTTTCTAAAGCCTCCCTGTTCATCTGCAGTCCTGCTCTTCGTCATACCCTTAATTCTTTTTTACCTAGTATGCTCAACAGCTTATTCCCCTATAATTTTTACACACTTTTGTACCCTTTTCTTTTATACAAAGGAACTATGCATTCTCTCTGCCAGTCCCTTGGTACCTTCCCCTCTTTCATACATATATTGAACAAAAGTGCCAACCACTCCAAAGTTATATTCCCACCTGCTTTTAACCTTTCTGTCTTGATTCATCAATCCCAGCCACTTTACCCCGTTTCATTTTAATAACTGCCTCACATTCCTCTTCTACTCTCACATCTGGCTCTTCCTTACTCCTGAAGGATGTTATAATTCCCCTGCCAATGCATGAAATCACTGTCTTCCTATATTTTTCAATATTTAACAGCTCCTCAGAATATTCCTACCATCTTCCCATTACCTCCAATGCCCCATCTAATAACTCCCCTTTTTTTGTTTTTAACTGTCAAATCTATTCTTTCCCTAGGCTTTCTGAACCTGTTAATCTCACTCTAAACTTTTTCTTGTCAGCAAAATTGACAGAACCTCACCCACCCTCCTTATATCACTTGTGTTTTGTAAAGACCTTTCATATGCTAACCTTTTCTACCTTACAACTCTCTTTACCTCATCATTCTACCAATCACTCCTCAGTGATTGGTGGAATGATGAGTGCTAGAATGCTGCACATTCTAACACTGCATTCTTAAATCTACCTCATAGTACCACTTAACCTTCTCATTATGTCTTACTTATATCTTACTCTAACTACCTCCTTTAGTTTATACACTTTCACCTCTCTTACTCATTGATGTCAATTTCCTTATACCCCATCTACCCCTTACTTTCACTGTAGCTACAACTAAATGATGATCTTAGCCTGACCCATGACTGGGCTCTGAGAGTAGTAAGACTCTTGAAACTCATCAAAGGCATCTGTTGTCCCTCTATAAACATGTATATCCAGAAGTCTGTCCATCAGCCTTTTATCCACTAATACATAGTCCAGCAAACTATTTATCATTATGCCCTATATTATGTCTTGTAGATTTATTTATTCTCTTTCTTAAAATATTATTACCTCTTTCTATACAAATTTTGGGTCAAAGGCTCCCATTATTATCAATATTATATTGTAGTACTAAATATGTAAGGGTTATTCAGTGCTAGGGAAATTGGAAGCAATCAGGTTTGATACACCGAAGGAATTGGGGCTACTCTTCCTTGTATTATGAGCCTTTCACTGAGCACATCAGGGTTCTCTGTCTGAAGGAAATTATTAATAAAAAAAAAAAGTGGGTAACCAGTAACTACATTCTGCCTTTAACATAGTTCTTCTTTTTTTATATTATTTTTTTTATTATCACACTGGCCGATTCCCACCAAGGCAGGGTGGCCCGAGAAAGAAAAACTTTCACCATCATTCACTCCATCACTGTCTTGCCAGAAGGGTGCTTTACACTAAAAGTTTTTAAACTGCAACATTAACACCCCTCCTTCAGAGGGGCAGGCACTGTAACTTCCCATCTCCAGCTCAAGAAACGGCCTGCCGGTTTCCCTGAACCCCTTCATAAATGTTACTTTGCACACACTCCAACAGCACGTCAAGTATTAAAAACCATTTGTCTCCATTCACTCCTATCAAACATGCTCACGCATGCTGCTGGAAGTCCAATCCCCTCGCACACCAAAACCTCCTTTACCCCCTCCCTCCAACCTTTCCCAGGCCGACCCTACCCCGCCTTCCTTCCACTACAGACTGATACACTCTTGAAGTCACTCTGTTTCGTCCATTCTCTCTACATGTCTGAACCACCTCAACAACCCTTCCTCAGCCCTCTGGACAACAGTTTTTGGTAATCCCGCACCTCCTCCTAACTTCCAAACTACGAATTCTCTGTATTATATTCCCCACCACCCCATTGCTCTCAGACATGACATCTCCACTGCCTCCAGCCTTCTCCTCGCTGCAACATTCATCACCCCTGCTTCACACCCATATAAGAGCGTTGGTAAAAATATACTCTCATAAAAATTCCCCTCTTTGCCTCCAAAAACAAAGTTCTTTGTCTCCACCCAAGACTCCTAAGTGCACCACTCACCCTTTTACCCTCATCAATTCTATGATTCACCTCATCTTTCATAGACCCATCCGCTGACACGTCCACTCCCAAATATCTGAATACATTCGCCTCCTCCATACTCTCTCCCTCCAATCTGATATCCAATCTTTCATCACATAATCTTTTTGTTATCCTCATAACCTTACTCTTTCCTGTATTCACTTTTAATTTTCTTCTTTTGCATGCCCTACCAAATTCATCCACCAATCTCTGCAACTTCTCTTCAGAATCTCCCAAGAGCACAGTGTCATCAGCAAAGAGCAACTGTGACAACTCCCACTTTATGTGTGATTCTTTATCTTTTAACTCCACGCCTCTTGCCAAGACCCTCGCATTTACTTCTCTTGCAACCCCATCTATAAATATATTAAACAACCACGGTGACATCACACATCCTTGTCTAAGGCCTACTTTTACTGGGAAATAATTTCCCTCCTTCCTACATACTCTAACTTGAGCCTCACTATCCTCGTAAAAACTCTTCACTGCTTTCAGTAACTACCTCCTACACCATACACCTGCAACATCTGCCACATTGCCCCCTATCCACCCTGTCATACGCCTTTTCCAAATCCATAAATGCCACAAAGACCTCTTTAGCCTTATCTAAATACTGTTCACTTATATGTTGCACTGTAAACACCTGGTCCACACACCCCCTACCTTTCCTAAAGCCTCCTTGTTCATCTGCTATCCTATTCTCCGTCTTACTCTTAATTCTTTCAATAATAACTCTACCATACACTTTACCAGGTATACCAACAGACTTATCCCCTATAATTTTTGGACACTCTTTTGTTCCCTT